CTTGGATGGCGGGGGCGGTGGCGGGAAGGAAGTGCATCGGGTTTTTAAAAAATTAAAATAAAAAACAAATATTTGAATAGTATTATAGTGTTATAATGCCATCCTCAATAGGGAGCAAAGAGGAGGGGAAAGGCCAGACTAAATTCCTGGGTTATAAGAAAGGGTTATGTTGCTTTGGGCTTAATGGCTCATACATTCATGAGGTAATATTCAGGGAAAATGTGATATTTTATCAGAATGTCATTCAAATATAAGGTTTAACATTTACATCACAAGAGCATGGACGGGGTAAAACTATCCGCCGGGAGAAAAATGGCAAGAATAAACAGTGTGATAAAAATGGTGTTTGCTGGGACAGGAAATGGGAAGTGGAGGATGGGGGAGTTTTAGAGACAGCTGACTAAACTTTTTGAAATATGTGACTGGTTATGACATGTGAAGCAATTACCATTAATGGAAGAAAAGCGATTTCAAAGCTCATTTTCCATTCTTCTATATCCTTCCTGAGACTACACCTTCCAACCACAAAGTGAAAAAAGAACACAAAGACAGAAATCACAGCGCAAGTCTCCTCCCTCGTACAAGGGCCGATAAAGGTTGCTTTACTCATAAGCAAAAGGGGAAAAGTAATGTACATATTCCCTGAGGTTTTTTATTTTATTTTCTCAGCAAAAGAGATCGATGATATTTTGCAGGACAAAATGCACTGATTAAAGAAATCCTTCCACAACACACACATGATTTTACAATTCAAAAAAAGCATAAAGATAAAAAAGAATCATTTGTCTAAAATGATCATCATTTTGAGTCAGATAGTCCCTGGAAGCAAAGTGAGGACACTCAGAAATTCCATTTGGATTAGTCTAATGCTATACAATCCAAATGTGCACCAAACACTGTACTTTTTATGGTAAATTGCTGTTGAATTTGTTAACCCACAACTGATATCCTGTGTTATGGAATCTTGGAGATTACAGCTAACTTGAAGCAACAGGGATAATTCTTGACAGTTAATGGTATTTTTGTATGCATTTTCCTGAAAGGCTAACATCTTGGGGCCTCAATCTGGTAGCTCAACATTGCCCCCTACTGCTGGCAACTGAGAAAATATGAGGTGGGCTGGTACCAAGTGGAAATCTAACCAGCCACTGCCAATTCCACCCGAGTATACAAATACCAGATGGCACTGCACGAACACAGCCACAGAACCGTAGACCCATCCAACAATTATTCTGTTCTGTCTTTTCCAATAGAAAAAATAAATTACTTGAATTTGTAAGAAGTCATTTGTAAAAGGCTTGAAGCAATGCTTACATTTAATTTGGAAGAAACATCCCTTTGCCGGGCGCGGTGCTCAAGCCTGTAATCCCAGCACTTTGGGAGGCCGAGACGGTGGATCACGAGGTCAGGAGATCGAGACCATCTGGCTAACACGGTGAACCCCGTCTCTACTAAAAATACAAAAAAAAACTAGCCGACAGTGCGGCGCCTGTAGTCCAGCTACTCGGGGCTGAGGCAGGAGAATGGCGTAAACCGGGAGGCGGAGCTGCAGTGAGCTGAGATCCGCCACTGCACTCCAGCCTGGTGACAGAGCGAGACTCCGTCTCAAAAAAAAAAAAAAAAAAAAAAAAAAGAAACATCCCTTTTATCTGGGCCTAAATCTTGACTCTGCTGATAAAGATCATCCCAAGGCATGCTGAGGAGAGACACTGAGGCCACTGATCTCCCTCAGAACACTTAGGAATTCCATGCCAACTGCTGAGAAACTTGGGCCAGAGAGTTCGCAGAATTGCTTTTCCTTTTGGTATTTTTTATACAAGAGCGACAAAACAAAAGATATTTTATCTTAACGAATGTGCCACCACCTTCAAATTATTTATGCACCAATTTACGTAGATATAACTAAATCCCTTAAATGAATTCATAATGAATAACACTGGTAAGCTCACAATACCAATATTTTATTGTGTGTGTGTGTGTGTGTGTGTGTGTGTGTGTGTGTGTACGTGAGACAAGGTCTCACTCTGTCACCCAGGCTAGAGCGCAGTAAGGCGATCACAGTTCACTGTAGCCTTGACCTCCTGGGCTCCAATGATCCTCTCACCTCAGCCTCCCAAGTAGCTCAGACTATAGGCACGCACCACCACAGGCGGATAATGTTTTTTATTTCGTACAGATGAGGTCTCACTATGTTGCCCACACTAGTCTCAAACTCCTGGGCTCAAGGAATCCTCCCAATTTGGCCTCCCAAAATGCTGAGAAGACAGGTATAAGCCACCTTGCTGGGCTAGATTTTACAAAAAAAAAAAAAAAAGGCTCTTGAACAAAAACAAAATCAAGGGCCAAGTACGGTGGTTCACGCCTGTAATCCCAACACTTTAGGAGGCTGAGATGGGCAGATTACCTGAGGTCAGAAGTTGGAGACCAGCCTGGCCAACATGGTGAAACTCTGTCTCTTCTAAAAAATACAAAAATTAGGCAGGCACAGTGGCGGGCACCTGTAATCCCAGCTACTTGGGAGGCTGAGGCAGGAGAATTGCTTGAACCCAGGAGGCGGAGGTTGCAGGGAGCTGAGATCGTGCCATTGCACTCCAGGCTGGATGACAGAGCAAGACTCCGTCTCAAAAAAAAAAAAAAAAATCATTAAGAGCTCCTTTCGTATTTGCTCTTCAACTCTAATTCACAGAGTTGTCAAATTACAACTTCAAAGTCAAGCTGATGTCTTAGAGCCAAGGTTCATCAAGTTAAGAGGTTCTAACTCATATGTAAATGGACAAAATCAGAATTACACAGTAGGAGGAAAAAAAACGTTGCCCTGAAACTGAAGCTGCCTTTATATAAGAAGCCCATAAAAATGGAGAGTACTCATAACAGGCTTAGTTTAGGAACAGAACTGACCAAGGAGATTTAGGCACAGACTTTTCATTAACTCCAATTCAGTTTCACAATGCTCGGTTTTGCATTGATTCAGGTCTTTGGAGAAATCAATTTTTGTGATACTATTAATACATTAAAAGGATTATAACATTCCTTCCCCAGACACATATCCATGAAAAGGTACGATTTAAAGATTTGAGATGTCTGGAAAGCAAGGACTTTTGGATTCTTATCCCGACTTTTAAACTGGGGCCTTCAGAGTTGTGACTTGACATTTTCATTATTATAAAGTAGGAATTAGGGTAGACCCTATGTTAAATATTCTTATAACAAAAATAATAATTATAATAAATAAGACAGAAGAAAACTTTTGGAGGTGATGGATAGGTTTATGGCATAGACTGCTGTGATGGTTTCACAAATGTACACGTATCTCTAAACTCAGGTTGTACACATTAAATAAGTACAGTTTTTTGTAGGGCAATCATACCCCAATAAAGTGGCTTTATAAAAATAAAATAGGGATTAGCAATAGCTATCCATTTTTGCAGATTAGTTCATTGTTTCCAGCACATTTCAAATTCTGTGCAGAGGTACTATCTCCAGAGTTTGCAGGCGTTTACCACTTTTCTACTACATTCCAAATCCGATTGTTTGAAGGCAGAACAGTGAGGTGGTGAAGAGCAAGGACCCCAGAGGCAGCCTTCTAGAGTTCAAATTCCAGCTTCCTCACCTGTTAGCTGGGTGACCTTGAGGAAGTTACATAAACCCTTTGTGTTTTGGTCTCCTCGTTAGAAAAACGGGGAATACAGGGCCGGGCGCGCTGGCTCACGCCTGTAATCCCAGCACTTTGGGAGGCCGAGGCGGGCGGATCACAAGGTCAGGAGATCGAGACCACGGTGAAACCCCGTCTCTACTAAAAATACAAAAAATGAGCCAGGTGCGGTGGCAGGCGCCTGTAGTCCCAGCTACTCAGGAGGCTGAGGCTGGAGAATAGCATGAATCCGGGAGGCGGAGCTTGCAGTGAGCCGATACCGCGCCACTGCACTCCAGCCTGGGTGACAGAGCGAGACACTGTCTCAAAAAAAAAAAAAAAGAAAAAAGAAAAATGGGGAATACATTACACCTATGTTATGGGGTGTCATAAAAGTTAAAGAAATTATATAGAAAACACACAGAATAATGTCTGGTACTTAATAAGTATTATGTAAGTGTTTGCTATTATTATTATTACTATTATTTAAATTAAGACTTAATGCAAGACCTCCATGTGGCTTCAGCCTGCCTTCCAGCTGCATTTCTCCCACATTATCTGCACTCCTTGCTCTGGTCACACCGGACTTCCTCACTTCTGGCCTTGCTTTTACAGTTCCTGGAGTCTAAAGTTCATCCCCAGATCCCCCATCCCATCATACTCCTCAGCATTCAAGGGCGCCAAAAACCACATCTGCCATTTCACCACCATCCCAGCCAGCTCAAGTGGTCTCAATGTAATGCTCCCTCCTCTGGAACTGTGATTTTCTTTTAACATTTAACATATATTACCGGATTTCATTTTAGCTAACGTCATACCTGGTGATATTCGTGCCCCTCTCCTTGTTCAACTGTTGGATCACAGTGGTTGAGAGTACAAGCTGTGGAGCCAGCCTGCCTGGGGTTCCCCCTTGCTTTGCCACTTACTCCGTGACCTTGGGGGAGGCCCTTCATTTCCCTGTCCCTCAGTTTTCACAGCCATACATTCAGGCCTGGAAAACTGTCTATACCTCTTAGCATTGCTGTAAAATTTTTTTAAGTTAATACTGGGAAAACAGAGTAGCACCTGATGCATATAAAAATGCAAATAAATGTTAAATACTATTTTCAAATTGTTATCCTCTTATCACCACTTCCTAGTATATGTCCAGCACATGCCTTATGAGGAGAAAATAATATAAATGCTTATTGAACTAAATTGAGGTTGTACTGACAAAATCCTGGCTATACCCATCACCTTACCAAGAAGAACCTAACTTGATAATTAGGAATAATTAAATCTACATTTGCCTATGCAAATGAGGCAGTGGAGGATTTGTATAACACAGCAGTCCACAAAACACGGTCGGTCCCAGGCCTCATGGACTTACCACACCCTCCATCTTCTTCCACAGTGCTTCCAATTGAGCCATGGGTTGACACCACCAGTCAGTGCACTTTCTGTATCGATTGCCTTGAAACCAAAACTGCCTCAGCCACTCAAACTCGACCTGTGGACCATAAAGAGAAGATGGTGGTTTTAATTCCCTTGTGATAGACAATCAAGGACAATGACTTCGTCTTTTAATTCTCCTCCGGTAATTTGACGGCCATAGGATGAGAAAAGGTGAGAAAGGTCAGCCTAACCAGTTCCCAATATAAGCTGGCATCTCCAGAGCATTTCTGCAATGCTAAGAAAAGAGTAGTCTTAAAACTGAGGTCTGGCCAGACGTGTTGGTTCATGCCTATAATCTCAATAGTTTGGCAGGCCGAGGCATGAGGATCGCTTGAGGCCAGGAGTTTGAGCCTAGCCTGGGCAACACTGCAAGATGCTGTCTCTACAAAAACAATTAAAAATAAATTGGCCAAGCACAGTGGTGTGTGCTGGTCGTCCTGGCTGCTTGGGAGGCTGAGGCAAGAGGATTCCTTGAGCCTAGGAGTTTGAGGCTGTGATGAGCTCTAATTGTGCCACTGCATTCCATCCAGCCTGGGCAACAGAGCAAGAGTCTCTGTGTTAAAATAAAATAAAATAAAATAAAATAAAATAAAATAAAATAATTAAAAAGCTGAAATTCTCTTACACAACCCAGCTCACGCCACAGAGGGGTTTTCAAACACATTTATTAGTCAGATGTGAGGAAACTATAAGTCAATCAACAATAAATACTGAGATCCTAATTATAAAGTAGGCTGTACTATGTTTGATGGGAAAGACATAAACCAAATGTGTTTTTATTAAATGTCTTTATTTAAGGCTGATATTAAAAGCAAAACATGGATACATATTAGGAAATATTAATTATAAGTTTCTTAAATTGCAATAAATTAAAATAACTTACCCATGGGCCGGGCGTGGTGGCTCACGCCTGTAATCCCAGCACTTTGGGAGGCCGAGGTGGGCGGATCACAAGGTCAGGAGATCGAGACCATGGTGAAACCCCGTCTCTACTAAAAATAGAAAAAATTAGCCGGGCGCAGGGGCGGGCGCCTGTAGTCCCAGCTACCCGGGAGGCTGAGGCAGGAGAATGGCGTGAACCCGGGAGGCGGAGCTTGCAGTGAGCCGAGATTGCGCCACTGCACTCCAGCCTGGGCGACAGAGCAAGACTCCGTCTCAAAAAAAAAAAAAAAAAAAAAATTAACTTACCCATGGGCCAGGAGGAGCTGGTGATAATCTTAACCTGTATATATAAAACTAATTATGGAGGCATACATTAAACCTACAAAGCCATTCAAATTGTCACTTGTCAACTCAGGGCAGGTGACAATAGGTTAAAAAGAAGAGTAGCAAACATATTAGTACAAGTTGAATATCCCTTATCTGAAATGCTTGAGACCAAAAGGATTTCTGATTTTAGAATATTTGTGTTATATACTTACTGGTCAAGCATTTCAAATCCAAAATCTGAAATTCTCCAATAAACATTTCCTTTGAGCATCATGTTTATGCTCAAAAAGCTCTGAATATTGGAGCACCTCAAATTTCAGATTTTCAGATCAGAAATACCCAAGTAACTTACTTTCCTTCCGATGAATCTACTACGGTAAACTTCAACTGTTTGCCACCTTGGCAGTCCTCCTATTCCAGTCAAATCCCACCCACCCCTTCCCCAAACAGCCCATGTGGTCTGAAGAGGATCCAACTCCAACGCCAGGGGTGGAATATGCAACCCAGGTCTAGGCCAATCGGCCCACTAGATTCTGTAGTCACAGAACTAGGATTGAGAGCAATAGGAATATGTCCAATCAGAAGAAATCTCAAGACTATCAGAAACTACAGGAAGAAGACTCTGCAGCTATTTTGCCAGCAATGGGAAGAATGGAGCCAACACAGGGGGTAACTGCAAGACGAAAAGACAAAAACCACATCCTGATATCAACTGACCCTTGATCAAACTATTCCTGAAACTGTTTTTATTTAAGCTGGTTCAGGTTGAATGTTTTGCCCTTTGCAACTAAAATAATCCCAACATATTTGGATGATGGGCTGAGTTAACCTATGGAAATATAAAAAATTTTCTATCCATTTTCTAATTCTTCTATCATTCATCAACTTGAAAATCAAGGTACAATGCTACTGATCTTAATACTCTTTTTACCACTGCCGGCTAAAGAAATGTGGAGCCGGCCGGGCGTGGTGGCTCACGCCTGTAATCCCAGCACTTTGGGAGGCCGAGACGGGTGGATCACGAGGTCAGGAGATCGAGACCATCCTGGCTAACATGGTGAAACCCCGTCTCTACTAAAACTACAAAAAATTAGCCAGGTGTGGTGGCGGGCGCCTGTAGTCCCAGCTACTCGGGAGGCTGAGGCAGGAGAATGGCATGAACCTGGGAGGTGGAGCTTGCAGTGAGCCGAGATTAAGCCACTGCACTCCAGCCTGGGCGACAGAGCGACGAGACTCCATCTCAAAAAAAAAAAAAAAAAAATGTGGAGCCACCACAGCTTCATGCTGGGTTGTCTGGCTTTGCTAAGGTGATCATATTCCATATGTAGACATGGAGCTATTATAATCTTCACCTGTTACCGCAAAGAATTTTTTTTCTGTTTATCCATATTGAACTTTCATGAGGCAAACAAAACCAACTTGTGAAGATTTAACAACGGTGAAAATGGCTCAAATAAGTAACCTGAGAATACCAAGTCATATGAAAAAGTTTTAGCTTACATTAACTAAATGTTTGTTTGCTATGTAGGACTGATTTCAGTTAAAGCTGTTTAAACAAAACAAAACAAAACAAAAAAGGAATGTAGACACAATATTAATACAACAGTTGCTAAAACTTATCTGTGCTTAACAGATGGTTAAGCACAGTGGTTAACAGATGTAACCTTGAGTACTTTGAAAGATGAATGAATACAAATGTGTTTCAACTTCTGTGAAGATACAGGTTTAACAACATAGTTCAAGAAAAAAATGAGTTCCTTTTGATGGATTTCACATAAAATTTGTTCACACTATGGAAAGAGCCTGTTAGCAAAACATCAAGTCCTATGTTAGAAAGAGTTGACAACGTTTTAAAAGATTTGCCAGTCTTTGGACTGGTTATGCCCGTTGAAGAGGACAGAATGGATAAGGCTTGGCAACCATGGTGACTCTGGAAATAGACTATCATATGTAATTAGTTCATCCAGTCTATCAGGGTACACTAGAAACTGGATTTCAGTACATTAAAACTTGGAAGCAAGGAGAAGGCTATATCTAGGGGCTGTGCTATTGGACAAGAGAGCAAAGAGAGAGCCCTGGCTATTTTAATAAATAATGCTTTCATCTTCCCTTGGACGCCTAACTATCTTTTGAGACAGTATCATGGTTAAAAATAAGGGCTCTGGCCTATAATCCCAGCACTTTGAGAGGCCATGGCAGGAGGATCACTTGAGCCCAGGAGTTTGAAACTAGCCTGGGCAACACGGTGAGACTTCATCTCTACAAAACAAACAAATAAACAGTTAGATGGTTGTGGCGGCACCTGCCTGTGCTCCCAGCTACTTAGATGGCTGAGGCAGGAGGATCACTTGAACCCAGGAGGTCGAGTTTGCAGTGAGCCATGATTGCGCCGCTACACTCCAGTCTGGGCAACACAGTGAGGCCATGTCTCTAAAAGAAAAAAAGAATATGGGCTCTGGAGTCAGTTCAAAAGTAAGTACCACTACAGAATAGCTACGTCATCTGTAAGACAGAAATAATTACTGCCTACTCTCTGTCAGGCATTTATTTGCTAGATGTCAAGAGTGCATACTAAACAAGACCACAAGGCTTTGGACTTCCTGTCCTCAAGCATCTCACAATCTTACAAATTTTCTGACCAGGAGAAGCTTTAATGTCCTCGTCAATTCATGCCCACCCCTTCCCACTAATGCCAGTCAGAAACATTCAACAACACTGAAGACCTTCTCCCAACCGAATTTTATTCATGAGTTGAAATATTGCCCATGAGATACAATCTCTGTGGACATCAAATCCAGTGGCATGCCTTCTATTCAACTCCATGACCTGACTTTTTCATTTCGATGTTGTGGGTAAAAACTATTACAGGATTTTAATCAAATGCCACCTTTACCAGTTCCCCCCTGCCAACAGAAAGAAGTAGCTGACTCTCTCCTTAAAATTAAGTAAGAAGGCAAAAAAATATTTCCACCTGCTTGATTCAGAGTCTGAGTTAACAAACTCTGGAAATTAGGAAGGAAAGCTATAGCATGGACACTGCACAAAAACCAGAGTCAGGACTCAAAATATAGCAAGTCCTTATTACTTTGGGGCTAAAAAACCAAACAAACATCCATGTCTAATCATATTGACTGACTGATGAAGTGGTAACCACGACAGAAGTTGGGTATTCTTCCCTTCTCCAGAGTTGTAGGCCGTCAAAGGAGGCTCATAGCTAACAGAGCAGAAATAAGAGGCAAGCGGTCAGGAGAGCAAATGCTGACTTGGGGCCAAGGAACATTCCACGGGTGACACATCCCTGAAGACGTCAGCAGCAGGGAGACAACCTGTAGGAGCTCTCAGGGTTCTCTCAAAGTTTTCATGATACTTACAAACCAAACTCCCTGATTTTGAGCATGCACTTAATGGAAATAAGTCTAGAAGAGGAGAAAGGAATAGAATCAACCCACATATCTGGACTTTAGTCATTGGGTACTTAGGCCTTGGAAAGCAAAGCTAATAAGATTTCAAAAGAATATTTCTGAGCCACTTTATCACCATATAGTTGTAAATCATCTCCATCATTCCAATGGGTCAGTAAATGTCACCTACTTTTCTTCTGCTGAGTTTGTTTAGGCTCTTGATATGGTCCCAAGTCAGCCATAAAGTTCCCTCATGAGATGTGTGACTACGCCCCTTGGGATTAATGTCTCACTGTAATAACGGATAGAAGTTACTTTGCTGAGAAAGGAATTAGACCAGGAAGACATGGTAAGGCTCTATCTACAAAGAGGTACCCTATGAAGGCCCTTTTGCAGTGGTTATAAGGAAGCCACAGGTCTGGTCGGAAGAAAATGAGAGCCAAACAATACCGTCAAACATTCCATTCTTCTAGGGGACATTTACTAAGAGAGGAGGCTGAATTCCACATTTTACTATCTTTAAAAAGGAAAGTGGGCCATTTAATAACATGGAAGAAAATTCTGCTTATAATTAAACAAGAATCTTTCCTAAGCATCTTAAATTGGAAAAACTATATCTCCAATAAGGTACTCCAAAACACATGCCCAAACTTCCGAAAACTGCTCAGTTAGAAGCCATCCTAGACAAGGAAAACAAACCACTTCTCAACCCACACAGACTGAGAGCTTGCAGTATGTAAAATAGAGGGTTTCATCCCATGATTTGTCCAGCAAAGACACATGGCCTTGCAGAAATAGGCAAGCAAGCAAGCAAGCAACTGGGAGAACTCTTATGGACGAGCGGGCTTTCACTGAACAATAGGAGAAAGTAAAGAGTAGGCATGCAACTTGTATGGCAAAAGAACAATATCTGACAATGTGCCCTGACATATGGAATTAATTGTGAAAGTAAGGAGATGACCTTGAAGAATCAGAGATCGGGAGAATGGTAAAGACTGGCACACACACTATTTAAATTCAAGATCACTGTATCTATTCAACCCCAGGGGCCGAGGTTTCTGATACAGTACATCTCTGCCCCACCTGCCTAACATACAAGGTCAAAAGCAGCCAGTCACTTTCTGAAGCAGACAAATTTTTTTTTTTTTTTGAGACAGAGTTTTGGCCTTGTTGCCTAGGCTGGAGTACAATGGCACAATCTCGGCTCACTGCAACTTCCGCTTCCCAGGTTCAAGAGATTCTCCCGCCTCAGCCACCCAAGTAGGTGGGATTACAGATACCCGCCACCGCACCTGGCTAACTTTTTGTATTTTTACTAGAAACAGGGTTTCACCATGTTGGCCAGGCTGATCTCAAACTCCTGACCTCAGGTGATCCACCGCCTTGGCCTCCCAAAGTGCTGGGATTACAGGCGTGAGCCACCGCACTCAGCCTGAAGCAGATAGACTTAGATGACAATATTCTGTTAGATACACAGTGTGATTTTACAGATTTCTCCCATCCATTGATGGTAACAAAACATCACAGTCACAAAAGATGAGAAAGGATAGGGAAATAAGAAAGCCTGTATGCACGTTAAAGAAAGCACCCATTCTGCTAGTCTGACACGAAAATTGTGAGGTTTTATTTATTTATTTTTTTTTGAGACGGAGTCTCACTCTGTCGCCCAGGCTGGAGTGTAGTGGCGCAATCTCGGCTCACTGCAAGCTCCGCCTCCTGGGTTCACACCATTCTCCTGCCTCAGCCTCCTGAGTAGCTGGGACTACAGGTGCCCGCCACCACACCCGGCTAATTTTTTTGTATCTTCAGTAGAGACAGGGTTTCACAGTGTTAGCCAGGATGGTCTCGATCTCCTGACCTTGTGATCCGCCCGCCTTGGCCTCCCAAAGTGCTGGGATTACAGGCGTGAGCCACCGCACCCAGCCCATGAGATTTTTTGAGAAGGAAATAACTACATTTCAAGATTAGAATTTCTATAATGTAAATATGCAGAAAGACATAACTTTGCTCTCCAGTCTAATTCAGTGAGGTCATCAGGCCCATAAATGTCTTCCTTCCTGAAGTTCTGGCTATCAGCAATGCCTCCAGCAGGGACTACTAATAAGACAGAAAGTAGAACACCCATCAGGCACAATGAAGGGAAGCAAGTCAGACCTGAGCTCAGCATTAGAAGTGGTTACCAGTCCCCTGAAAGGCAGAACAGCTTCCCCTATGGCTCTGGAGATTATGACAATGTTTCACAAAGTGTGGAGCAGTTCACAAGATATTAAATAACTTATAAAGACATTAAAAAGATATTATGTCACTATAGGAGATGACATTATTTCTCCTTTGCTCAAAACTCTTCAGTGGGCCCCCGTTTCCTGCAGAGTAAAAAGGAAAGGCCTTGTCCTTACAAGGGCCTCCAAGGACCTATACAATCTGCTGCTCCCCAGTCTCCTGGAACTACCTCTGTGACCTCTTCTCCTATAAGTAGCAACCTCACTCCCTCCACTCAAACAGTACTGTTCCTGGACTGTTCCATGGACTCCAGACATTCCCCCACCACACAGCCTTTGCAGTGGCTGTTCCTTCTGCCCAAAAGGCAATTCCCCAGATACCCACATGGCTGTCTCTCATGTCCTTCAATTCTCTGCTCAAATGACATCTTTTCAACAGGGAGGCTCTCTAGTTCTCTCAGTTTCCATCATCTTGCTCAGTTTTTTTTTCTGTAGCACTTAGCAACTTCTAACATACTGTATGATTTACCAATGTATTATGTTTATTACTTACCATCATCTCCCTGTACTAGAATGTCTATTTTATTTACCAATATATTCTAAAGCACCTAGAAGAGTGTCTGGCACATGCTCAGCAATTAATTATAGAAAGGATGCATGAGAACATTTTTTAACTTCAAATTCTTCATCAATCCTTCTTATTATATCAAAAAGAAAGTCTCAGATAGGTGAATGAACTTCAGTTCTCTACCACATTTTAGTGTCTCCTTTTTTTCAATGGTTTTTTTTTTTTTGAGGTATAATTTACCAGCCATAAAATTCACACATTGTAAGTGCAGACTCCAATGATTATTAGAAAATGTATGAAGCTGTGCAACCATTACCACTAATCTCCCTTCTTAACACGAAGAAAGGAAACTTGAGGCTCAGAGCGTCCTCCAGACAAGAATATCTACTGGAATGTAATAACATTACTCTGTTTTCATTGGACCTATTTTTCTGGATACTTTTTCTTTTGGCTAATGATACTGGATTTCCACTTAAAGTAGCAATATAAAGCTTCCTTTTTAAAGAAATTTATATATGTTAAAAAAGAGTTGATTTAAAGTAAAATATTAAGTAACTAAACAATGTATGCAGTCCAAAGATAAAGTAAATATTGAGAGGGTATTAGTGGGAAAAGTAGAGTTTGTGAAACTTTGACCCATGGGATCCAGACCTGCTGGTCTCACAGACTGCAGAATTGCAACTGATTTCGTCAATGAAAAGCAAGGCATTGACACTTGCTCGCAGGGCCTATCCTCAATTCCCAGCAGTCTTTGCTGGGAGACTATTCTTCCTGAGTCTCTTGTGCTTCTGCGTGTCTTGTGAGGAAGCAATGACTGTCCTGTGTTACGGACTCTCATCGCAAGGATGTTTATACAGCAACAACCTGGATAGAGAGAGTTTCTCCCTCCAGAACAAAAGGGCAGGTGTGCATATAGGCTTGGAAGATAAAGACAGTGTCTTGACCTACAGCAAAAGACAGGCATGCTTACTATCCTTTGAAAAAGACTAGGTTTCCATAGCTCATGGTTCCTCTCCTATAATGTAACCCCTCAATGTGTACATGTTATCTGGCCTACTTTGCATTGCCCTATAGAAACACTGGGAGAATGCTATGCTCTGTATGTGTACGTCCCTCCAAAATTCTTTTTTATTTAATTAATTAATTTATTTATTTATTTATTTTGAGATGGAGTCTCACTCTGTTGCCCAGGCTGGAATGCAGTGGCACGATCTCGGCTCACTGCAAGCTCCGCCTCCTGGGTTCACACCATTCTCCTGCCTCAGCCTCCTGAGTAGCTGGGACTACAGGCGCCCGCCACCACGCCTGACTAATTTTTGTATTATTATTATTATTTTTTTTTTAGTAGAGACAGGGTTTCACTGTGTTAGCCAGGATGGTCTCGACCTTGTGATCTGCCTGCCTCAGCCTCCCAAAATGCTGGGATTATATGCGTGAGCCACCATGCCCGGCCATGTCCCTCCAAAATTCTTCTGTTGAAATTCTAACAGCCGAGGCGATGGCATTAAGAGGTGGGGCTTTTCAGAGGTGAGAGATCATGAAGGCTTTCATAAAAGAGTTGAGTAGCCTTATGAAAGAGACCACAGGGAGCTCGCCTGGCCGTTGCACCATGTAAGGAAAGTGAGAGGGTACCATCTATGAATCATGAAACGAGTCCTCACCAGACACCAGATCTTGAACTTGATGCCACCTGATCTTGAACTTGCCACCCTCCAGAACAGTGAGGATAAATTTCTGTTGTTTACAAGCAACCTGGTTTATGCTATTTTGTTACTGCAGCCTGAACAAAATAAGTTTGTGAACTAAACACAAAAATACTGACACTCTGGTGACTGCTATTGATATAAGTAATAACCTGTCCTCCATCTCTGACCTAAGAGTCTCACGTCTTATACCAATATGAAACTGTGGCAGATTAACTTGTTAGCTTGCAGGTAGGGTAGAATCTCAGATCTTTCACAATTCTTGAAAGTCCTGCCAGGCACGGTGGCTTACGACTGTAATCCCAGCACTTTGGGAGGCCAAGGTGGGCAGATCACTTGAGGTCAGGAGTTCGAGACCAGGCTGGCCAACATGGTGAAACCTCGTCTCTACTAAAAATATAAAAATCAGCCAGGGGTGGTGGTGCGTGCACCTGCAGTCCCACCTATTCAGGAGGTTGAGGCAGGAGGATTACTTGAACCTGGGAGGTGGAGGTTATAGTGAGCCGAGATCATGCCGCTGCACTCCAGCCTGGGTGATGGACCGAGACTCTGTCTCAAAAAAAAAAAAAAATCCTTACCTCATTATGAATTTCTTCTCCTTGTTTCAAAACTGCAGGCTCAAAGGATTTCAAAGAGACATCACCATTGTCCACATCGTCACGGACATTCTGCAGAGCCAACTGACAGCGTTGTAAAATATAATCCAAGGTTCCTGTTGAGCACTGTTGAGACAGAACCAGCAATTACAATTATGGGCAAAATCTAAGTTTACTATGCCGCCCTTCCTAGGATTGTTCATATTTGTCCCTGGCTGTGAATTCACCTGTTGACCCCATGGCTCAGTCTATACTCCATTTTTTTTTTTTTTTTTAATTTAAATTTTGAGATAGGGTCTTGCTGTGTCACCCAGGCTGGAGTATAGTGGTGTAATGTTTCACTGTAGCTTCAACCTCCAGGGCTCATGCAGTCCTCCCACTTCACCTTCCCAAATAGCTGGTACCACAGGCAGGCACCACTCTACCCAGCTAATTTTTCTAAATTTTTATGTTGTAGAGAGAGACAGGATCTTGCTATATTATCCAAGCTGGTCTCAAACTCCTGGGTTCAGGGGAGTCCTCCCACTTCAGCCTCCAAAAGTGCTGGGATTACAGGCATGAGTCACTGTGCCCGGCCTGTACTCCTTAACTCAAGAATTACTAGAGTGGCCTGTTCCACTGGGCTCTCTGCTGCCAGTTTGGCCTCACGTGGGCCACTTGGTTTGCTGGTTTTCTTTTATGTGGGCCTCATATCTCTAACTAAACATTTGGGTCCCTGAGGCTAATGCCCTATTTATATATGTTAAATACAGTTTCTATATATACTACAACATCTAGAACTGAGTCCGAAAACTAGAAGAAATTTAATAAATAATTATTGGATGAATAACTGGTTAACCAAGAAGTCAAGGACACTGACTTTTTATCTCAAATGCCCTGAGACTAACGATAGGAAAGAAAGGTAAACAGGCTGCTGAACTGGTTCAAAAGCACACTAAATGGTTCCGTAATAACCGAGGGGAAAAATGAAGTTATAATCACAAGGCAAAGAACTCATTTCCCTTTTCTGCAAAAAGCATACATTAGGCAGTGGCAGTTTTTGGCAGAATAGATTCTTCAAATAATGGAGAATATTTGGCTTATGCCCTCAAGGCACATTCAAAGCCACAACTTAGTACCTGGGCCTCAGCAAGGACAGAGATAACTAGTTCATCCCTCTCTGAGTTCGTGGGAGCAAAACAGAGGTCAAATGGACAAACTCCTTTTTATAAAGGATCATATGTTGGAAAAGAGGCCGATGTACATAGGCAGTGCATCTGCTTGTTTTGATATTGAAGTGATTTCCTAGAATAATAAAAAGTCAGCTATAAATACCCTTCAATCCCAATAAGGAAAATGTATCCCTAAAATACTTTGGTTTTATTATTTGTAATTTCAACTGAGTCCTTGTAAATAACCTTGAAGGCTAATCCTCTGATATAAAATTTCCTTGCACATTTACTACCATTTTATCCAATGCAACATCGACAAGCCTGGGAAAAACAAAGTTTCTGTGCCAAGAAACAGAAGTTTGACTAATACGTATTTTAATATGAAGATCCCAGAGTGCTGGGTGCATAAGGGCAGACAACTCCAATTTCCTGCCAAGAAAACCCCACAAAGAATAAAGGTGAATGACCACTCATTTTTGTCCCACAGCAACCTCTACAACATCTTTCTTTTTGAGACGGGGTCTCACTCTCTGGCCCAGACCGGAGTGCAGTAGCATGGCGTGATCTTGGCTCACTGCAATCTCTGCCTCCTAGGCTCAAGCAATTCTCCTGCCTCAGCCTCCCAAGTAGCTGGGATTAAAGGCGTGCACCACCACGCCTTGCTAATTGTTGTATTTTCAGTAGAGACAGGGTTTTACCATGTTGACCAGGCTGGTCTCGAACTCGTGACCTCAAGTGATCCGCCCACCTCAGCCTCCCAACATGCTGGGATCACAGTTATGAGCCATCGCACCCAGCCTACAACATGTTTTTAAAATGACTTCCATCTAGAAAGTTTTCCTACATGCACCTTTACTTTCCCAAGTAGTGAGCTACACAGGTTATTAATTGCATTTTCATGCAAGATTGGAAACAACCTAAATTTCTCAACAATAGGAAAACTAGTTTAATGAATTATGGTTGCAGAAAACAAAAAGAGAGAGAGCGTGTGTGTGGAATAATTTTTTTCTGGATATATAGTGTTTTGTTTTATTTAAATAACCTATAATCAGGCCTAGTCTGAGATAGGTTTTTTTTTTTTTTTTTTTTTTGGTAACAGCTTTATTAAGCTATAATTCACATATCATAAAATTAAACCATTTAAAGCATATAATGAAATGTTGTTTCATATATTCACAGAGTTATACAAATATCACTGCAATTAATTTTAGAGCATTTTCATCACCCCAAAAAGAAACCCTGTACCGTTTAGCAGTCACCCCCAACCCCGCCTGATTTCCACCAACATTTCCAACCCTAGGCAACCACTAATCTACTTTCTACGTCCATGGAGAGGCTTATTCTAGACACTTCATATAAAGGAAATCATATAATATATATCTTTTGTGACCGGTTGCTTCCATTTCATATGTTTTCAAGAGTCACTCATGTTGTAACATGCATCATTACTGTATTCTATTTGAATGCCCAATAATATTCAACTGCATGGATACGCCACGTTTTATTTATCCATTCATTAAGTGATGAATCTTTGGGTTGTTTCCACTTTTTTCTGATTATGAATATTCCTGTAGAAGTTTCCATCACTCTTGGGTATCTACCTAGGCATGGAATTGCTATGTCACAGGGTATCTTTGGATTTAACCTTCTGAAGATGTGCCAGACTGTTTCCCAAAGTAACCGCACCACTATCCATTCCCTCCGGCAGTGCACGCGGGTGCCACTTCCTGCAGGTCGTCACCAACACTTGTCATTATCTTTTTTATTCTGGCTATTCTAGTGGGTGTGAACCATGATGTTATCCCATCATGGTTTTGATTTGTATTTCCCTATGACTAATGATGTTCAGCATTTTTCATTTGTCTGTTGGCCATTTGTATACCGTCTTTTTTTGTGTGTGTATGAGACGGAGTCTTGCTCTATTGCCCAGGCTGGAGTGCAGTGGCGCAATCTCACCTCACTGCAACCTCCACCTCTCAGGCTTAAGTGATTCTCCTGCCTCAGCCTGCTGAATAGCTCGGATTACAGGCATGTGGCACCACATCTGGCTAATTTTTGAATTTCTAGTGAAGACGAGGTTTTACCATGTTGGCCAGACTGGTCTTAAACTCCTGGCCTCAAGTGATCTGCTCACCTCGGCCTCTTAAAGTCCTGGGATTACAGGCAGGAGCCACTGCACCCAGGCTGTGACATGTTAATTCAGTACCTTTGCCATTTTAAATTGGATCATTTCTCTCTTGAATTATTGAGTTGTAAGAATTCTTTGAATATTTGAGATACAAGTGCTTCATGAGATAAATGATTCACAGATATTTTCTCCCATTCCATGGATCCTCTGCACTTTATTTATGGTACCCTTTGAAGCAGAAAAGGTTTTTAACTTTGATGAAGTCCAATTTATCTGTTTTTTTCTTTAGTTGTTTATGCTTTCGATGTCGTATCTAAAAAGCCATTACCTACTCCAAGATAAGAACTATATATTAATGAGTAATTACTACCAAAGTTTTCTGAAACAAAACTACAGAACCATGTATTTTTATATTAAAAATATTTAAAAATGTTTTTGAAATTACATACATTTTTACTTATATATTAAATATTACCAAAAGAGTAACAAGAACCTTTTAAAACTGGTTGCCTCTGGGGACAGGGACTGGTTGGCCTAAGGAGAAAGAGACTTTAACTGTATACCCTTAGGTATTTGTTTTTATTTTGAACCATTTGCATTAACTACCTATTCAAAATATAATTATGCATAAAATTTAAATTTCTTTAAGAAGACATTCTGTATTGAATCCCAAGAACATTCTGACACAATTATCAAAAACTAAAATCTAGGCTGGGCGCCCTGGTTCACGTCTGTAATCTCAGCACTTTGGGAGGCCGAGGTGGGTGGATCAAATGAGGTCAGGAGTTCAAGATCAGCCTGGCCAATATGGCAAAACCCCATCTCCACTAAAAATACAAAAATTAGCCGGGCTATCTGCTACTTTCTACTCTGCGCTGTGCATACTCTTTAGACTATAAGCATCTTGAAGACACTGAACATGACCATTCCCGTTCACAAGTCCCTACAATAATAACTTGAATACTATAAAGTTCAATAAAAGTTTGAAGAATGAACAAACTGAAATCCCTTCTGAATTGTAATTCCTGCAATCAAAACTTGCTGATGATTTAATCTCTCTTGCTTTATTATGTATACTGTAGTGTACAAATGAAAACAGAATCACCTTCCACACAGTGAGCTTTAGTTGTTCCTATCTCCTATTAGTTTTTCATCAGAATAAAATGAAAAGACAGTAGTAGCAGTAGAAGTAATTTAATAATAGTAGTAGTGGCGAACTTCTTTGAATGTATACCAGTCTCTGTTCTAAAAAGACTTACATGTATTACCTAATTTAATCCTCATAAGAACACTATGAATTAGGTATGATTATTGTCCCCATGAACATATTTCCCAAGCTTTTTATTTATCGTTTTGTACAGCCCTTTGAACCCAGCACTAACGAGACTGTCTACTCTTCCGGCTAAGATTAGGAAAGACATTGAAGGGCGCATTTAAGTAGCCATATACTCAAGTGATCCACAAGAAAGGGATTCTTGGGAGGGTTATAGCTAGAAAGACAGATGCCTATAACTGGGGAAATGAAATCCTTCCATACAACACAAGGCACATATTAGATGTTCTATAAATACTAGCTCCTCCCTCCCTCCCTTCTTTCCTTCCTCTGTTCGGCCTTACCTACCTTCCTCCCTCCCTTCCCTCTTTTCTAAAAGAACTCCTTTTAGGTCTCTAAGACAATTATTTCTGTGTTTGTTTAAAATTTGTCCCCCCAACAAAAGTTCACAAAGGTGGTGGGCATGATGGCCATCTTGATGGCTCTATCTCCCAGGCCTACAGTTTTGGACACATAACAGGCACTCAAATATTTAAATGAATGAGTGAATGGAAAAGAGAAGAAAGGGGAGAAAGGAAGAAAGGGGTGCTGGATGGGCTGGCTGGCATCTTGGTTTAAATATTCATTCATTCTCTCTTTGCCACACAGCAATATGATCGGTCCACTGGTAAAGCTACTTAATGACCAAGACACAACACTGCCATATAGACTCAGGCAGTACTGCCACTGGAACACCATGCACTTATACCTCCCACCTTCCTGTACCACTTCTGCCCAATTTTCTCACACTTTTCCCCTGTAGTTCCATAAAAGGTCAAGCTATAAAGCAAAACATGCATAGCAAGCTTAGGTAGAAGGTCACTTGTAATCCCTTTCATGCCTTGCTCTCTGGAACCCCTCTTAACTGAGTACATGGGACCCCAACATGACTAATATGAGTTTTTCTCATTTCTTAGTTTTCCATTCTGAGCTAGTCTGAACAGCTAACCATCGGCCATTGCAAGTGTTGGCAGAATTTAGCAATAAAGTCTGGGTTATGAACACATCTGGGAGCTCAGAAACTCCTTGGCAACGCTGTAACTTTCTCTTTAATTTACATTCACATGCCCAGAAGTCCAACCAAAAAGTTAAGGAAAATGAAAATTCTCAACATCCAAACCCAGCCACAGCTAACACATGCACAAGCACAAAAATCTGCCCCAATTCCTCCGGTCATCTCTTGCCCTTGACCTTGACAGATACAACCCTCTAAATAAACCTCTAACTATAAACACTTGTCAATGGCATTTTCCTTCTCCAAGAAACATAATTCCAAGAAGCAAAATACACTTATCCCATGCCATGCATACACTTTCTAAAACTGTATCCAACACAATCCAAAGCTCAAAAAGCAAGTAAACAGACGCAAGTCAAGTTAGATGGAAGCAATTTTCCCATCAAATACTCTTCCAAAGCTCTATGATAAATTGCTCATTCAACCACTTCTGTCACATCCAATTAGGTGTGAATCACATTTTTATTTACACTTACCTCTGCCACTCGGTGGGTGGAACTAAACCGAGGTTGTGAACCAGCCAAAACGCAGTGTTGGTGGGTGGCATTGAGATCATCTACAGGAAAAACACCAGAAATTTATAAAACCATATTTATTAGTCAGTATACACTGTATATTACTTAACTAAAACACAAAGTAAACAGTAAATCCATCTTTCAAGAAATGACAATAACCAAGGAATCAACACTTACCTTGTATTCTTTAATCAATCCCTTATAAGTAGGTGACTATATATATGTGTATATATATGTTCCATTATATATGTATCTACTTACAAGTAGAGATTACATATGTAGATATATAACAAGTGTAATAATACAAATATAAGTATATAATAAATAAGATATACTTATATATACTTATACATACACAAGTATATGTAAGTGTAAGTAGATATATAATCATATGTCTATAATTAAATATGTATATATTCTATCATACAAAGTATGACATTTTGAAGAGTGAAAGGGGGTGCTATTTACAATTATTCCAGAACAACAGGTATAAACCAGGACTGCCCTCAGCAAACAAGATATAGGGTCACTCTGCTTATTTGTGGTCCTATAATGCCCACCCACTATAAAATTCACTATGTATGGATTGAGCTTCTTTCACTTTCTCATGACACATCTACTTCTACTCTTTAGAATAAACCAGAATTTGGAGTTGAACACCTTTCATCTGAAAAATCTGCCTCTTTCCTTCTGTAATCAAAGTATCAATTTTGCCCTAACAATTTTCCAGGCAACAAACTAACCAATTCAGCATGTTGCATGTTTGGCTCTTAGAACAGAATTCAAGTCTAGGGATTCACAACCCAAGAATGAAGTAGGTGGTGAATTCATCAGTTGAAGAATATTCCTAAAACCACAAGCAGTGGGAGAAAAACCAATGACCAAGTCGTTGCAGATCCTGAGAAATGATACCACAAGTCAGGCAAAATCTATACAACCTCTGCTTAGGACATGACTTCCTCTACTACAAAAAAAAGAGAGTTGTAATGTTTCTAGCAATGATATCCTATACAGGCAATACAAGATTTTAATCAAGATACCAGAAATGATAATGACTTAAACTAAGAGGCAAATGCCACCAGGCCCCTTATGTGTCAGCAAAAACAACCTACAATATCATCTCTAAACACAGAAAGGAAATGCAAAATATTAAGGCAGGATTTCCACTTAGGAATTTGTGAAGTAACAGTGACAAGATTTACCCTTCTGCCTTAAACAACTACAAAACAAGCCAAAAATATGAATCAAAGGTTTCAGCAAGATATAATCCCATGGAGAAGAGAAACAAAATAGGTGAGAGATGCCTACAATTGCCCTAACTTTCTCCATGGAAACAGTTTCAACGCCACAGAATAAAGAAGAGGAAGTCAAAACCCAGTCTCTGTTTCTTTCTTGCCAAGTTGAGAAGACAAAGATTGGAGTATAGGGAGGCCAAGGCCATAGGGCCTTGAAAGGCAGAATGCTGAAACAGAAACAGATATACAGAGAGAGAGCAAACAGAGATTGCAGAAGGGTTCCCTTAAGTATTTGGAAGAGCACTGACCTGTGCATGTATGAATAAAAACTTCCCAAGGGCCATAAAAAGAAGTACCAGAATGCAGCAGGTGGAACCAATTTCAGATCTCACACACAGCTAGGAGTATTTTATGATCCCAGCAGCCAAAATGGCTCTCACTACGAGATACTAGAAAATCCTTAGGAAAGCATCACTGCGGAAGTAGGGCTAAATGAGTCCTAGGTTAAATGTTGCTCTAGTACCACCTCGCAAGGCTTAAAACTAAGCCTCGAAAGGATCCAACTTCTGGCCAGGCACAGTGGCTCATGCCTGTAATCTCAGTACTTCCGGAGGCCGAGGTGAGTGGATTACCTGAGGTCAGGAGTGCGAGACCAGCCTGGCCAACGTGGTGAAACCCTGTCTCTACTAAAAATACAAAAATTCACTGGGCATGGTGGGAGGTGCTTGTAATCCCAGCTACTCGGGAGGCTGAGGCAGGAGAATCGCTTGAACACAGAAGGCAGAGGTTGCAGTGAGCCGAGATCGTGCCATTGCACTGCAGCCTGGAAGACAAGAGTGAAACTCCATCTCAAAACTAAAAAAAAAAAAAAAAAAAGATCTAACTTCTTCTTAGTAATTTAATTATTCATTAGAGCAAAAGCCAAAGTATGTAAAAGTATATAACAAAATCAGGCACCCAACAAATACTATGTGCAATATCCAACATCCATTCAAAAAGTAACAGAGAAATGAAAGATACACACACACACACACAATATGCGAGATAGTCACATCTCTCTTTTCTTCTAAATGTACATGTCTGCCCTTTCAGATATATATAAGTGAAGCTTCTAAAGGTTAAACATGTAGTATTGAAACAAAACTCACACTGAATGAGATGAACAGCAATTTGAAACTGCAGAAGAAAAGGTCAGTGAACTAGAACACATAAAAAATAAAAACTATGCAAAACAAAGTGGCTAAAGAAAAAAGACTACAAAAATATGAAAGAGCGTAAGTGACCTCCAGGACAATATAAAGCCATTTAATGAAAATTTAATTTGAATTCTAGGGAAGGAAGAGTGACAAATACATACACATTTTTATAGAAACAATGGCCAAAATTCACCAAACTTCATGAAAACTATAAACCCAGAGATCCAATAAGCTCAATGAATTCTAAGCCAAAAAAATGATATAAGACTAAACTAAAGGATGTCATAATGAAATGTCTTAAAATTAGTTATAAAGTGGAAATGTTAAAGGCGGTCAGTAAAAGAGACATTAAATACAGAGGGGCAAAGATTAGAATGACAGCAGACTTCTCATCAGAAGCTATAAAACTCAGAAGACAACTAGGTGACAAAATACTAAAGGAAAAAACTGTCAATCTACTATTCTATACATAGTGAACACCCTTTCCAAAATAAAAGTGAAATAAAGACTTTTCAGAAAGAAACTAAAACAATTTATATTCAGTATATTTACACTATAAGAATTGTTATGAAATTCTACAGGCAAAAGAAAAATAATATCAGAAGGAATTTAGATCTGCTCAAAGGAATAAAAAGTAACATAAGTAAAAAATATCAGGAAAGAATAAATGCCTATTTAAATCCAAAATAATAACAATGTATTGTGAGGTTTATAACATATGCAGACATAAAACACGAGAAAAAGCACAAAAGACAGGAGGATGGCACGAAAAGTGGTACAACATTCAAAGTTACATTGTGGTAAGTCAAAGACGTAAAGATATTATAAAACCAAGAGCATGGCTCTCAATGACATGTAATTTTGTCATTCCTCACTCTGGAGAGACAGACTGGAAATAGAGAATGACAATTTATCAGAGTAAAAAACAAGAAGCAGCAACATGCATGGGAACCAGTACCAGGGTAGAAAAATCGTAACTGTAACTACTGAATTGCTGGAGATTAAATGTAGACAGGACTGAGAGTTAAAAAGTCCAGGGGAGCTCAGTCTTAGGGAACTCCCAGACTTTTGTGAGTTTTATCTCCAAAAGCTCTAACAGGTTCTCACAGTGAAGATCCAAAAACATCTTCTCATGCTTCTGGCAGAAGGAAGGGAAAAAATAGCCACTTTATTTATTTATTTATTTATTTATTTATTTATTTATTTATTTTCTCAGGAGACAGGGTCTCACTTGTCATCCAGGCTGGAGTGTAGTGGCATGAACATACCTCAATGCCACCTACAACTCCTAGCCCCTGCTAGGCATCCTATCGCAACTAAGAGTGAGAAAAAAGAAAATGAGAAGCATTTGTGAGGTTCACAATTCACAGGCATAGACTTACTAAAGGACTGAGACTTAATCATAAGATTATAGAATGGTTCCCCTCCCAACATACCTTACCGCTGCATTATTACTTCAGTTCCTTTTATCCAGTATATCTCATCTGCCTATCAAGAAAAAAGTACAAGGCCTTCTAAATGGCAAAAAAAAAAAAAAAAGAAAGTTTGAAAAAACTGAGCAAAAATCAGAACCAGAGTCAGAAATGGCAGAAATTAATTATCAGAAATGTTTTTTAAACTACGATTACTATTCTAAGGACTGTAAAGGACAACGTAGACAACATGCAAGAACTGATGGGGAATGTAAGCAGAGGGATGGAAATTCTAAGAAAGAATCAAAAACACAATGCTGGAAATCAATAACACTGTAACAGAAATGAAGAATGCCGTTAGTGGGCTCATTAGAGAACTGGGCAAGGTAGATGAAACATCTCTGAGCATGAGGATATATTAAGAGAAACTTCCAAAACTGAAAAGCAAAGAGAAAAAAGACTGAAAAACAAAAGAAAAAACAAACAGAAGTATGGGACAACTACAAAAGATGTAATATATGTATAACAGGAATAACAGAAGGAGAGGAAAGAGGGAAAGGAACAGAAGAAAATTAGAAGCAATAATAACTAAGAATGTTCTTAAATTAATGTTAGACACCAAACTAGAGACTCAGAAAGCTCAGGGAAAAAAAAACCTACACCTAGGCATATTATATTCAAACTGCAGAAAGTCAAAGATAAAGAATTTTGAAAAAAGCCAGAAGGAAAAAACAGCTTATCTATAAAGGAGCAAAAAAAAAAAAAAATCTGACATTTCTTCAGAAACCAGGCAAGCAATATAAAAGTGAAGTGAAATACTTAAGGTGTTGAGAGGAAAAAAACCAGCAACCTAGAATTGTGGATCCTACAAAACTATCCTTCAAAAGTAAAGGAGAAACAGACCAGGTGTGGTGGCTCGTGCCTGTAATTCAAGCACTTTGGGAGGCCAAGGCAGGTGGATCACTTGAGGTCAGGAGTTCAAGACCAGCCTGACCAATATGGTAAAACCCCTTCTCTACTAAAAATACAAAAATCAGGTGGGCGCAGTGGCACACACCTGTAATCCCAGCTACTCGGGAAGCTGAAGCAGGAAAATCGCTTGAACCCGGGAGGTGGAGGTTGCGGTGAGCCGAGATTGCGCCACTGCATTCCAGCCTGGGAGACAGAGTGAGACCCTGTCTCAAAAAAACAAAAAGAA